TGAAGTAAACAAGGGATATACTTTATTGTGAATTACTTATGAACTATTTATCTTCTTATTTAACAGGTACATACAAGCTAACAGTGGATTATGGCAAGACTTATTTGCTTCGAATGGTGAACGCTGTAATGAACAATCAAATGTTCTTCTCTGTGGCAAATCATCAAATCACAGTTGTAGGATCAGATGCTGCCTATTTAAAGCCATTCAAAACAGATTATATCATAATTTCCCCTGGACAGACCATTGATTTATTACTTGAAGCAAATCAATCCCTCAACCATTATTACATGGCTTCAAGAGCTTACAATAGCAATCCTGGAATTGGATACGATAACACAACCACCACCGCCATCCTCCAGTATCGGGGAAATTACACCCCGTCTTCGCCACTATCTCTCCCGAATAATCTCCCTAATTACAACGATACGAATGCATTTGTTAATTTCACGGGGAGATTTCGATTTTTGGCTAATAAGGAACATCCAATGAACGTGCCATTGAACGTTACAAAAAATTTGCTATTTACATTTTCGGTTAACACATTGCCATGTGCTAATGAGTCGTGCCTTGGACCAAATGGAGATAAATTTGCAGCTAGTGTGAATAATATAAGTTTTGTTATGCCTCAAATTGACATACTAGAAGCTTATTATAAGGAGATTAATGGGATTTATGGAGATAAATTTCCTAGTGTTCCACCTTTGAAATTCAACTACACAGGGGATTCATTACCTGTGGAATTTCAAAGAGCTGATAGGAAAACAGAAGTGCATGTTCTTGAATATGGATCAACGGTGGAGATTGTTTTGCAGGGAACTAATCTATTGGGTGGAGTTGATCATCCCATTCATTTGCATGGATACAGTTTTTATGTGGTGGGATTTGGTTTTGGAAATTTTGATAAGGAGAAGGACCCTTTGAATTATAATGTTGTTGATCCTCCTCTTCAGAACACTTTTGCTATTCCAAGAAATGGATGGGCAGCCATCAGATTCAAAGCTGATAATCCTGGTATGATCACATTTTTTATATCATAGTTGTTGTCATTATTACATATCTCCTACAATTTATGTGGCATTATTTGATTGAACTTATGGATACATGATATTTATATGGTCGTAAAAGGGCATGTCATTAATGATAAAATAAAAAAATTAAAGTTAAATGGTCCAAATAAAAAAAAATTGTCATTCTTTTGCAACAGGTTAATTAATAAGGAAAGAGTGCCATATAAAATAGAATAAGAATTATTTAGGAGTTATATTCAAGTTCACAAATGTAATGATTTTATTTTGGTGTCCGTGTGTGCCTATTTTGGTGTATTATTGCTCTATTACAATTTGAACATGCATAAAAAATGGTTTTGCTTAATGGTAAGTATGATATAAGCCATTTAAGTATTCAAGTTGTTGAGATTGAAAAGAAGAATTAAGTTATAAGGAAATTTGTGTACATTATAATAGAATTATTACCAATTTTTTTTGTTACAAATCAATATTTTATTTTGAGTTACCTGCAATAATTTTCACACAATCAGTACATATACACGTTAAACCAAATCTTTACTGCCAAACGTTAAATCAAATCCTTGGTAGGAAGCTCTTCCCCCGAATGGGGCTCTAACATGGCACGAATCCGAATATAATCGGGCTCCAATACATATACCGATGAGAAACCAAAAAAAAATCTTTACTGCCAATTTCACATGGTGTCGTACTTAGACATTTCTTTTTCTAATATATCTTTCTTTTAATTGCTTGATCAGGTGTGTGGTTTATGCACTGCCATTTCGAGCGTCACATAAGCTGGGGAATGGATATGGCATTTATTGTTAAGGATGGAAAAGGCTTGAATGAGAAACTTCTGCCTCCACCTCCAGATATGCCCAAGTGTTGATTGGATTAATCTTAGAATAAATAAATCCTATTAATTTTGATTCCTTACAGAGTCCCAACAAACATTAATTGTTCAGTGATTTAATTTATTTGTTTGTTGTTTAACGTATCTTTGGATTATCTATGATATTGCCTTTAGAATGTTTACTAAATGTATAATGGGTCATGAATAAATGAAAGTCTTGTTACTTTTATGAATTTTCTTGAAAGAAGGCTCACGTTAATTTTGTGATAATTAATTTTGATAAAGCATCACTGGTTATTAACATTGCCTAGTTAGTAAAAATCAAGTCACTAAATCAAAATACATATGAATAAAATCTCCCATTTTGAGTTAATAAGATTAAGCAGTGAATATCGAGAATTCAAAAAAAAAGGAAGCATTAACCCAAATAGCTGTCCACCCGATGTTTAAACTAAAAATAGCCGAAAAATATATAACATATTATAATCGTATATAATTAATATATAATTCATATATACCGGCTATGAAAATTAAATAGTGAATCCGAGCGGTTGTTTATGTAAAGATTCCTGGATAATTTAGTGACTGTTGGGCCTATTCAGATCCATCCTTTAGTGGACCTGTTCAACCCAGTTATTGGTCTGAATTTGACCATTTCCCTAGATATGGCAATGGGGCGGGGCGGGTTTAATCTTAACCCGCAAATATTTCAACCCGCCCCAACCCGCACCACATAGCAAAATCTACTGTTTTCAACCCGCCCCGTCCCCGCATAACAAAAAAGAATTATTTTTCATTTTTAATGAGTAGTAATTCTGATATTACATCTTTTTCTTTGACGATCCAATAATATTCCTAAATCATGGAAAAAAGTCACCATAAAATATATTCCTCCAACTAATTTAAAACTTTCCAGTTAGGCTACTCGCACATATTATTGTCTATATACGAAGTAATTTCTTTAGCATGCACAGTGATTACTTTTAAATTATATATTTTTTAATTATTTATTTTTGAGTTATGATATTAAATTGTGAAATTTATGGGGTAATTTTTTATTTTTTTTTTTGCTAAGAACCAAATAGAGTGCTAATATAACAGAAACGAAAAATTGTAATGGAGAACTTTTTGCTGTGTATTTAATTCAACTGTGTATAAGTATTTATACAAAGCAAAATGAATAAAAATCTGTTATGCTAGGTACAGGTGTCCTATCACTATTTGTCTATGTATAACTACCTAAAAGAATCCTAAGAAAGAATATAGAGAAATTAATATGTACATATTTTAACTACACAATACACACGATAAAAGAAGCTTCTGAATTTCTAATAATCTATTTCATTCTTTTACTCAAATGGACGGCCCAGATATGTTCTCTTTTAAAGAAAATAAACGGACATGATTAGCTTTGGATCTCTGAAGACAAAATGATCCTGTCTTTGGACATATCGTCATTTGAGTTTAAGTCATCTCCTTTACCAAAAATTTTCTGTGGACTAAACTTGGGAAATTCCGACCAATACCCCCTTCAAGTTGGAGAGGGGCGAAGTTACACCCAACTTGTCGATGATAGAGTGGTGAATCGGACCGGACAAGGGTTTGGTGAAGATATCGGCAACCTGTTGATGGGAAGGGACAAAGGTTAAGGAAATGATTCCCGCCTGAAATTGTTGGCGAACAAAATGGCAATCAAGCTCCACGTGCTTTCGTACGTTCGTGGAATACTGGATTTTTTGCGATATGAATCGCTGCTTGGCTATCGGAATGGAGCTGAACCGGCAGAGAGGGCGAAATAGACATATCTTCGAGCAATCGAACTAACCAGGTTACCTCTGCGACCACTCGTCTCATGGATCTATACTCTGCTTCAGCAGAGGACAAAGAAACTAAAGGTTGTTTCTTTGATTTCCAGGATACTGGCGAACTCCCAAGGCTAATGTAGAAGCCACTAATAGAACGACGAGAATCAGGACATCGTCCCCAGTCGGAGTCACAGAAAGCAAGAAGGCGAAGCGAGGGATTAGGGTTGAGCAAAAGACCCATTGCAGGATTTGAGAGAAGATAACGCAGACAATGAAAAGCTGTGTCCAAGTGAGGTTGGCGTGGAGACTGCATAAATTGACTTAAATGTTGCACGGCGAAGGACAAGTCAGGCCGCGTGTGAGTGAGAAAATTCAATTTTTCTAGAAGTCGGCGATAAAAAGTTGGGTCTGGAATCAAATCTCCAGTGTGAAGGCTGAGTCTTTAAGTGGGATCAATGGGCGATGTAGTGTCCTTGAGGTCAAGAACCCCAAATTCAGTCAAGAGTTCTGAGGTAAATCTCTTTTGAGTCAAAATAAAACCTTTTTCTTCACGAATAATTTCCATGCCTAAGAAAAAATGTGCTTGCCCGTGGTCTTTGATCTTAAATTCACAATCAAGAAACTCTTTCAAACGGTGTTGCTCTAATAAATCATCTCTTGTTATTAGAATGTCATCAACATAGATGACAATAACAGTAACTTTCCCTTCTGATTTCTTAAAAAATAAAGAGTAGTCGTTGAGTGAATGAGAATACCCTTTAAAATTCAAAGCTGCCGTAAGCCTGGCATACCACTGCCTTGAGCTTGCCGCAAACCATAGAGAGACTTCTTTAAAAGGCAGACATGATTGGGTGAAGGGGACTGCATCCCCGCTGGAAATTTCATAAAGACTTCTTCTTGCAAATCCCCATGCAAGAAGGCGTTATTTACATCCAATTGAAATACTTCCCAGTTCTTCTTAACTGCAATAGCAAGAAGACATCTGATGGTTATCATCTTGACAACTGGGAAAAAGTCTCATTGAAATCTATCTCTTCCCGTTGAATATCTTCTCTAATCACCAAACGTGCTTTGTATCTCTCCAAAGAGCCATCAGACCTATATTTCACTTTATATACCCATTTACATGGTAGTGCTTTCTTTCTGACAGGCAAAAGAAGAACTTCACATGTCTTATTTGCTTCCAAAGCCTCAAATTCTTTGGCCATAGCCTCTTGCCATCCTGGGTGTAGAACTGCTTGGGAATAGGAAGTAGGTTCTGAGGTATATGAAAATAGTTTTAAGGAAAGACTGATTTGTTTGAGACAAAGCAGAGAAAGACAATATAGTGGGCTATATAGAAGTGGCAAAACAAGAAGCAGTAAGGTCTGTTAAAAACACTGAGTTGCAAATATAATCAGAAAGATATGGTGGGGTAATGTGTGGTCTGCTAGACCTCCTAAGTTCAGGTGATGGAGGTGAAATATGAGAGTGGGGAATAGGAATAGGACTAAGAGAGGGTGAATGTAGGATATGAGAAGAAGAGGAAAGAGAAGAATTAGAAGGAGAAGTGGAATGAATCATGGGAGAAGAAGCAATAGGAACTGAGGAGGAAACAGTCTGGGTATCAGAATTTGATGAAAGCTCCCTATAGACACAATCAGTAGGTTGTGTTGATGAAGAAGGGAAAATATTTTGATTCCCTTTAACAGAAATGAATGGGAAGATGGTTTTATGGAACTTGACATCCCTAGAAACAAAAATCTTCATGGTCGGCAGGTTTAGGAGCTTGTATCCTTTCTTTCAGACTGGATACCCTACAAATACACATAGTACAGATCTTGGATCAAGCTTTGATCTGTGAGGAGTTAGTGTGCAGGCATAGACAAGGCAACCAAAAATTCTGAGCGAGTGATAGGAGGGTGCTACACTAAATAAGACTTCATAAGGAGATTTTAGATTAAGAACCTTAGAAAGAAATCTATTAATGAGATGGGTAGCAGTTAATAAGCATTCTCCCTAGAAAGAAATAGGAAATTTAGACTAGAACAAAAATGCCTTGCATGTTTCCAAAAGGTGCTTGTGTTTTCTTTCAACTATTCCATTTTATTGTGGGGTGTAAACACAAGTAGTTTGATGTATTATCCCTTGAGAAAAAAGAAAAGCTGAACTTTCTAGTCCACTCCCAAGTTCCCAGGCATTATCTGATCTTATGATTTTGACCTTCTTCCTAAATTGTTTTTCCACCATGACAAGAAATTATTTTAAAAGGGTAAATGCATTTGACTTAGCACTAAGTAGATAAGTCCAAGTCCCCATACTAAAGTCATCAACAATTATGAGAAAATACCTAAAACCATCATGAGTGAGTTCTTTATAGGGTCCCCAAGTGTCAATGTGAATTAATTCAAAGATTTTCTTAGTTGATATAGTACTAGATTGGAAAGGTAACTTTACTTGTCTAGATTTGGCACATATCTCACAATGATTGATCAAATTAGCTGAAGTAGAATAAGAAATAAAAGAAATATTTCTCATATTATAATAAGGCAAATGCCCTAACCTCAAGTGCCATAGGCTTACATCATTTGAAAGTGTAGAACAACACGAAACTGAAACTAAAGACTCAGTACTCTTCCTAATACACTTAGAAGAAGATGGACAATAGTCCTTCTTTGAAGCTGAAAAAACTGGACAGTAGTCCTTCTTGGAATCAACCAAACTGCTACTAGGCTTGATGGTATGAAGTAGATAAATCTCTTGTTTCTCCTTACCAAGAACCTCTGGCCTCTTCATTGAAGGGGCCTGTAAAATTACACCAATAGAGTAAAAAATGAGTAGACAATTAACATGCTGACAAAGTTTGTGAACTGATACAAGGTTATAGTTAAAAGTAGGAACAAAAAGAACATTAATCAGAGTGAGATCAGGAAGAACTTGTACATTTCCTGCCTGAGTGACCCTAACCCTTTGTGAGTTAGGAAGATTAACAAAGACTGGCTTGACTAAGGTTCTAATATTGAATAGAAGATTAAGATCACATGTCATGTATTCAGATGCTCCTGAGTCTAAGATCCAAATAACCGTGTTAGCTATTTTTGAAAAAAGAGTGTTTAGGTATACCAGCACAGTTTGCAGTCACATTCACTTCTGAGCTGATGTTTCCTTGTGGTGTAAACTTAGCTTGTTGAAGTACCCAACATAGATTGTGATACTGCTCTTGAGTGAGTCCTTTCTCCAAACCATAGATTGACTGAGCAGAATTAGGATCTGATGTGGCTGCTGCATATCCCTGAACACATCCTTGAGACCTTTTGTTCTTGGTAAATTTAAAATCTGCAGAAAACCCAATGATTCTGTAGCATTTCTCAATTGAATGTCCAGGCTTCTTACAATAAGAACATACCACTGTGTTTCTCTTTTCCTCAAAATTTTCTCTCTTATCTGCTTGAGCATACTTCTGACCTCCATATAGTTGTTTTGTGGCCAAGAAAGCAGAGTCAAGAGGATGATGTGCAATCTGGATTTCTTTCTGTTTCTCTTCCTGGATCAAGAGTGAGTAAGCATGATTGAAGCTAAGAAGAGGTGTGGTCATGAGAATATTGCTTTTCACTTCTGAATAAGCATCGTTCAGCCCCATCAGGAACTGAATAAGCCTTCCATCATGCTGAGATCTTAGAGATCTGCTCTTTCCTCTACAAGAGCACTCATAACTACAGTGAGTACATGCATCAAAACTGTCCAAATCATCCCAGATTTTCTTAAACTTTGTGTAATACCCAGCAATATCAGAACTTCCCTGAACTAAATCGCTAAGTTCCTTCTACAGCTGATAAAGCAAAGCTCCATTGCTTTGACCAAATCTATCTTCCAATTCCTTCCAGATTTCTTTAGCAGTCTTATAATAAAGGACACTCTCAGCAATCTGCTTTGAAAGAGAGTTCAACAACCATGATATTACCATATCATTGCATCGACTCTATGCCTTAAAAGAGGGTGAATCTGCAGGTGGCTCTATGATCGTCGCATCTATGAAGCCAACCTTATTTTTAGCTGAGAGAGCTATGAGGACTGCTCTATGCTATCCTCCATATCCCTTTCCATCAAAGATGGAATTGACAAGAATCATTCCAGGTGAATCTGAAGGATGAAGGTAAAAGGGATGAGAGTTATCATTTGTGATAGTGATTTGAGGGGATTGGATTGTGGAAGGACTTCCAGCAGGCAGTGTAACAGGGGGATCGTCAGTGACTGCCATTGAAGAAGTCCAAGAGAAAACTTGAGCAAGAAGATAGGATCTAGACCTTTTGCTCTGATACCATAACAGAAATAAAAAATTATAATGGAGAACTTTTTGCTGTGTATTTCATTCAACTGTGTACAAGTATTTATACAAAGCAAAAGGAATAAAAATCTGTTATGCTCGGTACAAGTGTCCTATCACTATTTGTCTATGTGTAACTACCTAAAAGAATCCTAAGAAAGAATATATAAGAATTAATATGTACACATTTTACCTACACACTACATACGGTAAAAGAAGCTTCTAGATTTCTAATACTCTATTTCATTCTTTTACTCAAATGGACGGTCCATATATGTTCTCTTTTAAAGCAAATAAACGGACATGATTAGCTTTGGATCTCTGAAGACAAAATGGTCCTCTCTTTGGACATATCGTCATTTGAGTTTAAGCCATCTCCTTTACCAAAAATTTTCTGTGGACTAAACTTGGAAAATTCCGACGCCAATATAATACCCAAAGGAACAAAAAGGGGAATACTTGAAAAATGTGTGCAAAAACGAGAAAAAAAAGGACATTCGTCCTTATTTTCCATTTTGTTACCCTTACATATTAATTTTGTTTCACTCGAGACAAACCCAAAAAAAAAAGTAATATAAAAAGAAATTCAGTAGAAAACTATTTGGTATTAGTCGATTCCAAGTCAAGTTTAATAAAAACTTACATGGACTCTAATCATGTTCCTCTCTAACTTTTCAAATTAATATTATAAATATTTTACAAATAGATTATATTTATTTATACACAAAAAAATCGTGGAATGTTAATGGTGATTCTAGCAACGCAAAAGTGGAAACGGTTAGCACTTAGTAGATAATTTGCAGAATATCAAATAGATCAACCAAGAAAATTTATTTAAACCCGTATAGACCCACGTCCCACCCCGCCCCACATCAGTTTCAAAAAATATTGCTTCAACCCGCCCCATATCACATAACTTTAAAACCCGCACTGCCCCGTATTACCTTAAACCCGCACCGTCCCGCACTCGCACCGTCCCATTTGCCATCTATATTTTCCTGTTTATTGAAATAGTCACGAGATTCAAATTGCATAAATAAGATAATTTTTGGAATGGTCTTTGATTTTTGACCGTTATTTGACATATGGGCAAGTCAAAAGTCAAAAGTGTTGCCCATCAACAACACTTGTTAAACTTAAATTTCTGCCTATAGAGTAAACGCGAACAAATATTCAAGACCATCCACTCTAAAGGTTATTTTGTGTACTCGACATTGAATGAGCAAAGGAGTAAACCATTTAGGGATTATTACCTAGTTATACTATATTAAAAACTTATTTACCTATTTTTTCTATATTTTATTATTTTTAATAAGTATCTAGTTTTTCATACAAATTGTATACAGTGTTCCTTAAAAGACTCCCAAACTATTTTTAGTGTCTTTAATTAAGAGATTCAATTACATCATTTCCTTTTTTTTCCCTGCTCTTCTCTCTCCTTTTTCTTTTACATCAAAAACCCTTATCTACGCCTAGAATCTCCATTTTCTCTCATCCCACTATTGCCGACAACTTTATTTATTAAAAAATCGTCAATTGCATCGTTCTTTTGCTAGGAGACTGGACAACACTGAAAATGAAGAAGCATTCAGATTGTTGTCAGAATTATTTGCAATATCGTTCCATTAAAAAACTTTAAAGCTTTGAATTCGATATTTATATTTTCAAATTTTGTGATTTATTTGGATTTGATATTCCTGCAAATGATTGAGAGTACGCTTTGGAGTTTATATCTCAATTTTGAGAGAGGTTATTTAAGTATAAAGTTAGTTTTAGGTAAAATTTCATATTGAAACTCGAAAAAGAAGAAGTTGCAAGAATTATATGATAATTGTATGATAATTGTATCGTAATTGTATCTTAATTGTATCATATATATCAATGCCTAAAACATAATTGTATCATATTTTATCACAATTGAATCTAACTTATATCTGGTACATTAATACACAAAATAATACCTGATACAAAACTAATAAATTAATATACAATTATCATGTATTTGTGATACAAATTATAAAATTGGTCACGAACTCACAATTGCTCGTAACAATATACAATTATCATACATTTGTGATACAATTCATGCAACAAATATGATATATATATATACACACACACACACACACACACACACACACGCACGCACACACACACACACACAATAATAATACAATCGCGTTGCATTTTTGAAAAATTATTATACAATTATGATCTTCATCTTCTTCAAGTTTCAATCATAACTCTACACTAAAAATCTAATATAATCGTATTATAATTGTATTAGTATTATTTTGAGTATTGATGTATTATATACAAGTCACATAAAATTTTGATATAATTGTGATACAATTTTAAAACAAATATGATACAATTATCATATAATTCATATTTTTTACCTATCAGTGAAGAGAGGAGCTGCAAATCAAAGTTTCAACCCGTAAAATTTTAGTGAAGAGATAGAAATTTTGGAAGATTTCTATTAAAAAAAAGTCATATAATAATTTTTATTGTTGGTGAAGACATTGTTAATGCATAGTAAATCTTGAAAGAGAGACTAAATAAAGAAAGAAAATAAAATTTTAAAGCAATATTTCAAATTTCATCTGCAATATATCAATAAGAAAGGGAGATTTTGGGTTATCGGTAAGAAAGAGAGAAATTAGGTTTGAAGATCTTTGAAAAAGGAAAAAAATCGGCAATTTGGGGGGTGGGGGGAGGGGAGGTATAAAAAGATAAAAGAGAGATTTTGGGTGATTATCAAGAAAGAGAGAAAATATTTTTGAAATCCTTTGAAAAAGGAACAAAATCTTAAATGTAGGGGGTAATTGAAAATAAGGGTGATTGTACGTGAAACTGATAGACTAAATTTTAGACATCTTGAATTTTATTCTTTTTGTTGTTTTGTATATAACTTGTAAATATAGATAATAAGCTAACTTGTAAAACAAATATTGCTAACTAATAAGCCATAATGAAAATGAACATAATCTAAAAGTACTATATAAGTCATGCTAAAATAAGTATGGGTAATAAGTACTATTAATTACATGACAAATACTAAAGAAAAAAATAAACTATATAAGTTATGCATTTTCATTATAAATTAATACACAACTAAAAAAAAATTAGATATTTAAGACTATTATCATTCTTAGTGTTAAATATATTTAAAAGAAATTACTATAATTTTGCTAACAATTATTGAAATGTAAGAAAATAAATGCAACTAATTGCATCAAGAATCTAGAAACAAGGGGAAAACAACATGGCTGGCTGGCTTTTGTATGACGTGTGATGAGGGGCGGCTTAAAAACGCCTAAAGGCAAAATTTAATTGGAGAACTTAAACTTAACAAAAACTTTTAATTTTTCTTTGAAATTTATTTTTTTAGTTTTTTGAGATGTAAAATTGTTAATAATCTTTTATAATTGATTTTTTCTAATAATTCTCTCTCAAATGATAATATAGCTAATCTTTTTAATCTTTCTTGAAACATTGTTAATTTTAGGTAATATTTTATTAATTTTAATTTTGAAAAAATTTCTTTCGGTGTGATAACTGTTAACATTATTCTATAAGCATTTGAATATATATATATATATATATAAATTTTAAAAGTAGAATTCATTAAGTTCAAATTGCTGCATATAGTTCAAATCAAACGGCAGTCTCTTTAAACATTAGTTCTTCTTTTCTTCTCTTTTTCCGACAGTTTCTTTTTGACTTGGAAACACATACAGAATAATCTGTACCATTTCTTAGTCATAAATTATTATTTATAAATCCGCGTATGACATCTAAGGTTGAATCGAAAGTAAATTTGTCGGGTAATCCCAGGCAAAGAACATAATGCAGGCGAATCAACCGACATTTATATATCCATATTCCTAAATCTAAATCCTAAAGATCGTCGTTGGCTGAATTTCTTCTTAGCCGACCAATTTCTTGAAATCTGCATTCTGTAAGACTACTGTAACCTATTTGATATAATATGAATTTTTGTTTTTTCATCTAGTCGGTGCTCATTCACTCCCTCTTACTGCTTCCTCCATTTGATTGTTAATATATTATTATTGTTTAAGTTAAGCTCGAATTGATATGTCTTCTCAAAGAAATTATACTAACTGAAAGAGTGACAAGTTAAAAAAGTCATAATTGTTACAAAGAGAAAAAAACATTCATATATTTTTCCTTAAAATGTAAAGAATGTTACTCCCTTCTGTCCTTATTTGGCACTTAATTAGTCGAAAGGTTTGTTCTAAAAATATTTTTCACTCTAGAGGATCAAGAAGACATTAATGTTTTTACGGTAGTATTTTTGCTATTTTAAAAAAGGAAAATAGACATCAGCAGGGGCAGATTTAAGGGGCGGAAGAGGGTTCACCCGAATCCTCTTCGCCGCAAAATTACACTGTACATATAACACAAAATCTATTTTTACCTTTATATATAATATTTTGAATCCACTTGGCACAACCCAAAAGTGTAGCTCAATGTTCAAGGGAGTTTAATTAAAACCTTTATGAGGTCATTGATTCAATTCTTACTGCACCAGTAGACACCAATCATCAATTACTCATATAAATGAGAGCTAAGGTAATAATATAGTCAAATACTCCATTATTTATGCTATCAAA